AGGTTGTCCATATAGATTAAAAAAATGAAATTAAATAAGTATGGGAAACAGTCACTCATACTTGGATTTAACACATCCCTGTACCCATGAGTGTAAAGTCTGAGTTGTCCAAAATAATTCTTTTCCTTTTTTTGGCAAAAGCTTTTCCTTTTATATACTTTTCTCATAGCATATTTGTAAATTCTCAGGGAAAAATCTCAAGTGAAGTTAACTAATGGTTTAGAGGAGTCAGTGTGGTTTAATTTCCTATATAGGAGTCACCTTAACTAACTAGCTTAACTTCCATTCTATAAAGGAAACAGATGAAATGGTGTTTTGACTTCTTTGAGATTTTTTTTTTTTTTTTAAGTTCCCTCTGTGTCCACTGCAGGCTTGGTTTCTAATTTTCACTTTATTGATCATTTTTGAAAAGTAACATCAGATTAAAATGTCTCATTACTTAGACATTTTTACCATTTCTCAATTTTATGGGTAAACACAGGTGAAACAGACCAGATTTTTGTTAATTTCACATACCAGACAAGGTGCCAGATTTTCTGATTTACCATAGTTAAATGGATGCTTTTCAAGGATGTGGCCTTGCCATTTTGATTAGACGTCATGCCTTATTTATAAGTATGACTCGGCCTAGTCATTATTTAGACTAAAGACAAACTAAAGAAATAAACAGGTTGTTTCAGGAAGTTGGTTTTGGCTGTTAATGAGAAAACACTTCTCCGTCTCTTTGCTGAACCAATAAAACAGCATGATGATACTGTATTTAGAGGTACCTTACCTTAAATTATTTCTCCAAGAATTAAGTTTTATTAACCATTCCTTGGATACATTCTGCCTTGCATAGTTACATTTTACTTAATGTTCTTCATTTTCAAATGGTTATGGCTTAGGCTTCTTTTTTTACAATACTTCTTGAGACTTTTTGTTTAAAAACTATATAAGGATTTGAGGATATCAGACTTGGATGTTTGTAGCAAGATTTATGTTATTAATAAACTTGGTTTCACAGTTCTATGTTGCCATTTTCAGTGGTAATATTAAGCTAAACAGTTAGAATTTGTTGGGCTGTCTTACGGAATAGTGAGGAAAAATTATTTCACGCGACCATGCTTAGCTATTTCCCATGCATGAGGCATTTAGCATTAGCTTCTGGAATTATCTATAAGCAAGGGGAATGAAATATATGCTCTGACTTCTATCGAACCATTCTTCTGTCAAGAAGAATGCTGTAGTATTATCTCTTGGTAATATTTATTTCAGGTAATTGTAGGGAA